ACCAGAATATCAGGCAATGGATACAAAAGTGTCTCCGTTTCATCATGAACAATGCTGATATCTTCCTCGCTGTCAATGTCATACACGTCACCAGTGCCACCAATGCTGCTTAAATGTACCCGGCCGTGTACAAATATAACCATATAATAAAAATTGAACCATACAATAAGCAAACTATGTCACCACGGTAATTTCAGTTTTTATTAGCAGAATAAGTAAGCCATTACTGTAGGTTGATTGCCTATGGAGCCCGTCCCTATTTTCGTCTGTTTCATTAGTTGTATTCCCATCTGTAAGTTTAAACATAGTATAAATTGTTATTAATTATAACACGTATGGCAATTAAAGTGATACTTAGCAACATCACCATACGTATTGAATGGGCAGCCATATTGTTATCAAGATCAACATTCTCTTGGTTATTCATCTTATACCTTTTGACAACGTTTCTTGTTTCTTTCACTCCTCTTTTCATCAGACATTGTTGCATACCGTTCTCTCTCCCTCTGTCTCTTCTGCTCATTAGGATCTCCATCTAGTGGCACCAATCCTGGTCGGGTATGATTCCCTTTAATAAAGCTTGGTGAGGAGTTGCAAACATATAAATATAGAATATGTAGAGAGGTTGTAAAAGTTTATATACCTTCATGTGTTGTATTTGTAAGGTCCCCCAAAGGTACCCGATCACCGGTTGGCCTTGGCGTGTCCATCAACACTACCTGTCACTTATGTAACTTATATATATGTGTCTAGCATTTGGGAAACCATGAGCATGAAATATAGTTGGACACGCTGCATCAAATTTGCATGAGGACTATGCATGAAGCATGAGTTATTTTGTGTCGTGAGAGAAAATCTCCTTACTCATTCTTGTTACTTTGTAGTACGACTGTTCCATGAAAATGATAGGCATCCATTACTCAATAAGTGGCAAATCAAATACGGAAAACAAATGTGATTCATATACAGGAAGATCTACATGTCACACTGCTGAATTTGTATGTGTTATGCTTACTCATGAATTTTTTTTAGTTGTTGCTGCAGGTTTGTCTCAGATAAGAAAGTAACTGGACGACATAATTATGTTTCTTGTCCATCCTAAGTGACAACCATGCCTTACTGTTTTCTACTTTTCCATGGCATTTTTTAAGTTCTTGCTTAAGAGATTCCTACAACCACAAACGGTGTACTTAAGAGATCGACGTTAGTGGACTGTGATGACGGGGAGCAGATCCATAGCACCAAATGTGTATTCTCAATAGTTTAGTTCCTAATTTGGTCAGTAAATTAGTATTAACACTCCTTTGATAATATATTGTTTACAAAAAAATGTATCACACATGACACTTCATCTATCCACTTAAGCTAACAGCTTTTGATTAAGATGCAATGATATGCATAAACAATTGTACATCACTTAAGCCAACAGCTTTTGATTAAGATACAATGATCTGTTCTTAAGTGTCAGCAGAGAATATATACACACTTGTGATCTGTGCTTCTGTGTAAAATCTGTTCTTATACACACTTGTGAATTAGTGATGTTCCATTCAGCTAGCCTGATTGTTGAAGGTTCAGCAAACTTAAATCATCTTTGTGTGCCATGCTGATCCTGATTATCAAAGTATGCAGTATGTACTCATCTTTCAGATGGATTGTGGAATTATGCAGTTTTTACTCGGCTCATTTTTTCAGTTATGCAAGGGAACATTCTTTGTGCCATCACATGACATTCAACACAGTAGAAGAATTTGTAAATCGTTGAAGAAAGCATGTAGTCCTGAATAACCTAGTTCAAGTCTCTTGTGAAATTTTACTTAAACTGGGATGACGCTTGTCCAAATCTATCAAATATGGAGTGTTGAATGAACAAAAACAGAACTAATTATATATAAGTAGTTAGTAGATTTTTTTTGGGTATAAATAGCAGCAGCCTTGTTTGAAGAGGACAAACTCAGGTCATGCACAGTACCTTAAACATGTGCCTAGTACCATAGACAGACTTATGAAAACTATGGGGTATCTACGAAACTGTGCACAGTGACATCACCTGATCACCGGAATCGGACTGAGTGCTTCAAAAATCACCGTAAGTGCTGGTCACCTAATGCCAATGCCGTACAAGAGATGCAGCATGAGACAAAGAAGAGAAAAACCTGCACAGAACAGACATTGAAATCAGAATGTCACTGCTCACTTCAATACAGACAACACAGACAACGAAATCAGAACTCAGAGAATGAAAGAAAGCATTCAACCCGCAACGAAATTGGGCCACCCTAAAACTGAAATTGACCTAATCATCTACAGTGACCATACAATGTTTGCCTACAAGGACCATACATGTTTGTCTGAATCTGCTGGGGCACTACCACTATGTAAACTTTCTAGCACCGACCTACCGGAGAGCAAGCATAGCAACCAAATAGAAAGATAAGAATGGTGCCATGGCCTTCATGCTGTTGCAATATATGCTGACTGTCAGTTCTTTAATACTGTGATTGGAATAGATTTTACTGTGAACCACTGACTCGTTAAAATTTCAACTGAACTACAGTCGGTCCCAAAAATTAAAGTTCCTCAAAACCATTGACTCTTTCCTAGCGCTCTACATTTACATAATTATAAACTCAAATGCCTTCTAAATCATTGGCCTTGAACATGGATTTATGGATTATTGCAAAGTACTACTTCGAGGAATCGAAGCAAAGTAGTCTTGGTCAAGCTCAATTAATAAGGCAATGATTTAGGGAGGTGAAGTTATCGAGAGTTTTCTGTTTTTGTTCTAGGCTTCTAGATGTTACTTTTCCTTTAGTAATCAAAATTAGATCCTCCGTACTACATTTTTAGTACAGTTTAACTTAGTTCTGAAAATTACACCTAAAAGATGGTTTTCTTTTGGTAAGCGCTCAGCACAACTTGAGTGAATTATGATCTGAAATTTAAAGCACGACAAAAGCTTTTTTTACTACAGTATAGTATGACAGATGCATTTCATGCTAATCAAATTTCGCACTTTCTAATACCTCAGAATAGTTATTAGCTGGTGCACTGCATGGTCAATGGAAATCAAATGCACAATAATTGAAACTGAATGTCCTTGGTCTAAAATGCCAGTAGTATACACGGCCATTCTAAATTTATAGGTTATCTCAAGTACTAAATTACAGCATATCGCTAAAAACTATCCGTAATTAGCTATTTAATTTAATAAAAAGTGTCAGTTTAGCTTTTCAAGGAACTAACTAATAGGGACCCTTCCTATTCAGATATAAGGGATAGAGGGGAAAACGACAGAAACTCACCTTGGTGCTATGGATCCAGGAAATTAAGCTTGGAAATAAAAAATCCGTACACAATAGGAAGGGAGATGAGATGGCCAATGAAGACGTGGCGTAGTAGCGATTGGCCGAGCGCAGGCCGCGGAGGCGGACGTGGCTGCGGACGACGGCGGGGTAAAGCAGCGCGAGGTTGGAGCCCACTTGCGCGCAGCCCGTGAACCAAGAGACCCAGAGCGAGATGGCTTCGGCGGAGGCTGCCGGGCGCAGGCCGCGGAGGCGGACGACCGGACGTGGCTGCGGATGGCGGTAGGTTCGAGCGGCGCGAGGTTCGAGCCTACCTGCGCGCGGCCCGTGACCCAAGAGACCCAGAGCGAGCCGGCGTCGGCGGAGGCGGCCGGGCGCAAGCCGCGGAGGCTGACGTGGTTGCGGGGTCGAGCGGCGCGAGGTTCGAGGCCACCTGCGCGTGGCCCGTGACCCAAGTGGGTGAGCGCGGGGAGTGCTGGAGTGGCGCGCACCAGGGCGAGCCCGGAGAAAGGAGAGGCGCGCATGCGGTGGAGAGTGATTGCTTGCTGGTGACTGGGGGTGATTGCGCGTGAGTGGAGAGGTCCCACCCGCCGGCGCACGGACTCGCGGGATCGTAGGCCGTACGGTAGAACGGCGCCCCCAATGTTTTGTCGCACGAGAAAATGTGTCTATCTTTTAGTCTTTATAGCTGTGAGAGATACTGCTCCTAACAAAAAAAATAGTGCTATATACACTTCTTAAAATTGCAGATACACCATTGCAAAAAATATGGAGCTTATAGAACCATCGGTTGTTGTGTTCCTCAACTGTAAAGTATATCATATTCCAGTCCATAGGTCAAGCTCCATATATATTTATTCATTTTAACTTCTACTCAAGGTAATTTTAGGAACAAAACTAACATAAGAGAATTGAGTGGAAATATGGTCTAGGATCTCACCATGCTGAGTACTCCCTCCATACTAAAAAAATGAAGTCGTTTTGGACAGTGACACGGTCTCCAAAGCATAACTTTGACTACATATTTTTATAAAGATATTTATAAAAAAGTGATATATGTAAATTTTTGTGAAAGTATTTTTCAAGACAAATCTATACGTATGGTTTTCACATTTCCAAACTCAACAACTTAAAAGTTATTCATGATTTATATTCCCAATGTTTGACCCAAGCGTTGTCCAAACGACTTCATTTTTGAGTATGGAGGGAGTACTGAACTCAACCAAAATGACATACCTTTAGGCTTTAGCCGAGGTGGTATACCTGCACATGACTATATTCATTGGCCGACAATGGGGTGAAAACTGAGGCATGAATCAAACACTTCGAAACACAAGGAGTTCAGTTAATAGTTGCATTTGGTAAGGTTCAGTAATAGGAGCCATACCTCTCTAAGCCGTTGTTGGCCAATCATGCTTGTTTTCAATTCCGATGATTGCTGACATGTGTCGAGGCTCGACCAGTGGACGTTCTTGCGGACGGTTGATCCTAGAAACAAACACACACATGTTTAGTTGGTCGGTACATCAACTTTCTGATGGTGGATCCTACATTTGATTTAACTTTGAAGTCATGTGGTTGGCTGAAAATTGCAGAATAGCTTTAGTCATCTAACATCAATAAACTGAATGGGTACGCATGGTAGGTGGTGCTGCATACCAGTGAGAGACCATTAGCCTGTTTTGCAGCAGGGCCATGGCCATCTATTTTCCTCCTGGTGTACCAGGCAGACAGATGGTGGAAGCCGTATTGCCTATTTGCATCCTGGCCCACAGACATTGCAGGGATCAGGGTTTACCTGTCAACAAGGATTGGGACTGCCATTGTCTGAGGATAGATGCTGAAGGACTGGGAACAGGGAACTATGCCACAATGGCCTCCCTCCGCTTCTTCTCTTCCTTGGATCTCAGCGATTCCACCGGGCTGTAAAACTGCCATCATAAAACCTGAAAATTAAGGAATAGTGGCGACAATTCGTTTTGCAAACATAATAATGATTGCCAAACTTCTTCCTTTCTTCACCAATCCTTTCATTATGTATTTATGTTGTGCTCTCCGGTGTACGCAATCTAGAGCTACAACAATTTAGTTCTGTCGGTGATCACAAACAAAAGGATAATCGATAGTGATGACTGATGATCACAATATGCAAAAAAAAAAAAAATGCTCACCGTTGGGTGAAATCAGAGGTGGAAGTCGGATAACTCGACATAGGTGTGATGGTAATGGGGAGTTGGACGAACAACTGTGGTACGGCCCTCGCTATTTCTTCATCTGCTGCTCTGGATCCCGCGCCATTGCCCTGCAGTACGCTGCCATCCTCAAACAGGTGGCCGGAGGGGGGCCAGCGCGCCGTCGCCAACCGGGAGGGAGGTGTCCAATCGCTACCGTTCATGGGAGGGGCTCCTTGCGCCACTGCTGGCTAGGGAGAAGGGGGCAAAGGAGCAAAGGAGCACGAGGAGGCATGAGGGGGCGGTCGCGGCGGCGGCAGCGTGATGTGTGGAGGGCGCGGCGGCGGCGTGGGCGAGCGTGAGGGGGGAGGGCACAGGTTGAGGCGCGCGGGCACGGCTGCGCGATGGGAAAGAGCGCGATTGGAGGTGGGATTTGGGAAAGAGCATTCGGGAGCGCGTGGGACTTGGGAAGGTGATCGCATGGGGAGCTGATTGGGAACGCGACTTCCTTTTTTTTTTTGCCGGACGGAGCGTTCGTGCGGACGAGTTTCCTCTCTTTTAGCCGGAGGGAGCGTTCACGCGCGCGCGAGAGGCTGCGGATCACACGGGCAGGACATGAATCCATGTTAAAATGTCACGTCAAAAAGTGTTCATGCTTTGTTCTTTTTAGTTGTAGGAGATATTAAAAAGAAATGAGTTATACAAACACTAGCCGAGCACTTTTCTATAAATATTAGAAATACGTGTCTGTTTAAATCGTCTCAAATTAATTAATAAGCACCAATGTGACAGCACTAATAATACACTTGACTAAGTCTGCATAAATACGTCAACCCCTAATAATGCGTCTTCGAATAGCCACAGAACTCAAAAGTTCAGATGGAGCATATATTGGAAGTTTGGAACTGAAAATATATATGCACAGCTTACACTTTCCGTTGACAACCAAGATATGAATTGAAAGGTTGAAGATGGACAGAAAAATCACGTGGAAATAAAAAAGATCAAATTGGCAATTTTTAGAAAAAACCGGCCCAAGCCGATTTAGGCAAGCACTGTAAACCCTGAGTTAAAAAAGGCCTAGGTCAGTTTTCAAAACCGGTCGTTTCGGCAGACTCCGCCATCTTTTTGTAGAAAACAAAGGCCGGTTTGGAAACTGGCTGAGCCGGTTTTGGTAGTCCGAGCTACAATTCATGTTTTTCCTTTGGAAATTGATCCAATCTCGTGAGAGACTTGTAAATTACGTGTTGAATGAGTTTTATATCTCTAGTAGAGAACAGACCTTTGATATTCGATCAAAATGAACTCTAGTTCCGGCATTTTTTGCGTCCGGGACTAGAGATACCTTTAGTCCTGGTTGGTGACTCCAACCGGGACTAAAGGTCCGTGCCCAACGGCTACTGCGCCAGGCAGAGGTGACAGAGACCTTTAGTCCCGGTTGGAGCCACCAACCGGGAGTAAAGGTATACTTTTACTCCCGGTTGGTGGCTCCAACTGAGAGTAAAGGTCTACTCCCGGGCCGTGGCTGCGCCCGGGGTTGGAAAGTTACCTTTAGTCCCGGTTGGAGCCACCAACCGGAATTAAAGGTCCCCTTTATATCCCGGCCGTCTCCTTCTTTCTCCCCTAGCCCGAGCTCAACACATTTTGAAGCTCACTGCACTAGTGTTCTTGCTTCCTCCCTTCCTCCATTGTTCCTCCATCCATTCTTCGATTTCTCCGTCGATTTCTTCGATTCCTCCGTCGATTCTTCAGTTGTAAAGGTTACCAATCTCATACTCTCATTTTTACCATTGTCTTATCTCATTTTGTTCACTATATATATATATGGTTCTTTATTGTGGTTTTTTCATTTGTAAGCAATTTAAGCTCAAAATCACTTCAAGCTTGCATATTTACATGAAAGAAGGTTAAAGTAGCTAGTTGAACTTGCGGACCGTGTTCATCTCGGCGAGCATGTTCTCTGCCGAGCGGTAATGGACATCAAGGAAGAGCTTTGATTCTACGAGGGAGAGCAGCAACGGTCGTGGAAGACCGTGTTCCCTTCCTCGTAGAATCGGAGCTCTTCCGTGGCCAAGTACGGTGCCGTCCGGTGGAGAAATGCTCGCCGAGATGATCACGTAAGCAAGTTCAACTAGTACGGATGGTTATTTATTCATATGTCCCGATATCGTCGCAGTAGTCTGTCAATCACCGTACCCAAACGTAGTATATATATAAATATAAACTTAGAAAATAGTTAGAAAATTATAGAAAATCCGTACTAGTTGAACTTGCGGACCGTGTTCATCTCGGCCAGCATGTTCTCTGCCGAGTGGTAACGGACGTCAAGGAGGAGCTTTGATTCTACGAGGGAGAGCGGCAACGGTCGTGGAAGACCGTGTTCCCTTCCTCGTAGAATCGGAGCTCTTCTTTGACCAAGTACGATGCCGTCCGATGGAGAAATGCTCGCCAAGATGATCATGTAAGCAAGGTCAACTAGTACGGATGGTTATTTATTCACATATCCCGATATCATCGCAGTAGTCTATCAATCACCGTACCCAAACGTAGTATATATATAAATATAAACTTAGAAAATAGTTAGAAAATTATAGAAAATCCGTACTAGTTGAACTTGCGGACCGTGTTCATCTCGGCGAGTATGTTCTCCGCCGAGCGGTAACGGACGTTAAGGAGGAGCTTTGATTCTACGAGGGAGAGCGGCAACGGTCGTGGAAGATTGTGTTCCCTTCCTCGTAGAATCGAAGCTCTTCTTAACCAAGTACGGTGCCGTCCGGTGGAGAAATGCTCGCCGAGATGATCATGTAAGCAAGGTCAACTAGTACGGATGGTTATTTATTCACATGTCCCGATATCGTCGCAGTAGTCTGTCAATCACCGTACCCAAACGTAGTATATATATAAATATAAACTTAGAAAATAGTTAGAAAATTATAGAAAATCCGTATTAGTTGAACTTGCGGACCGTGTTCAGTTCGGCGAGCATGTTCTCTGCTGAGCGGTAACGGATATCAAGAGGAGCTTTGATTCTACGTGGGAGAGCGACAACGGTCGTGGAAGACTATGTTCCCTTCCTCGTAGAATCGAAGCTCTTCCTTGACCAAGTACGGTGCCGTCCGGTGGAGAAATGCTCGCCGAGATGATCACGTAAGCAAGGTCAACTAGTACGGATGGTTATTTATTAATACATGTTTTTGAGATATAGATAATTTTATAGTTTCTTAATTTTATTTGTTTATAAAATGAGAAATTTATAGTGTATTAAAAAATGAGTATAGAGAGTAGATGGCAACTGTTTCCGAGTCCTCGGCCTCTCATGGGTTTCCAAAGCGACTTAGGCCAGGCCTCCCTCTCATTCCATGCGGCAAGTGTCGTGATGAGACGAAGATTATGATGGAGTACCGAATGAAGAAGGAGGGTCCCAACAATGATCGTATCTTCTACAAGTGTCCGGATCGCAATGTGAGTTATTTTATCGTATTTAATGATTATGGTTAGTTTATACCTATTTTCATGATGGTTGTGATTAAAGTTCTAATTTTTTGTTTTAATTTCAGTGGGATGGCAGTGGACGATGTTCAGGCTTCTACTGGGAGGAAGAGTATGTTGAACTCGTGCAAAAATATCTTGCACAATAGGCGAATCTGGCTGACTAATGAGGCGATGATTCAAATTGAGAAGCCCAAAGATGTTGCACAATCGGGGGATATGTTTATTTTAGTTGAGATTGGTCGTGAAATCCTTGTGCTCCTGAAATGTATTTTAGCTTTAGTTCTTTTAGTGGTAGTTGGGATTGTCTACATTGTAGCGATGCTTTCAAAAATTTATACCTTTTGTGGTGGCACACATGTTGTATAAATAATTAATTATGATCTAGGTTTTAATATGGTATTTATGTCATGTAATGCAGATGAGCCGGCATTGAATGTACAATGCTGATCGCTGCTCCCAAGAGTTCATTGTCGGCGTGCATTCTTTGCTACGTGCGGCCGAGGCAAACAAACGCGATGGTTTCATGTGTTGCCCATGTGCCATATGTAAGAATACGGTGGAATATCCTTGCTCAAGGACTCTTCATTCACACTTGTTCAAGTCGGGTTTCATGCCAAACTATATTTGTTGGACGAAGCACGGAGAAACCGGCGTTGTAATGGAAGAAGGTGAAGAAGAACAATGGGACGACAATGATATTATTCCCGATGGTGCGTGCTTCAATGATACTACAATGGGAGAAGCTGAAGAAGAGGTAGCCACAGAAGATGAGCTCAACGATGATCTTTGTTAGGTCATTAAATGACGCACAAAGAGAATGTGAAAGTGAAAAGGAGAAGATCAAGTTCGAAAGGATGCTAGAAGATCACAACAAATTGTTGTACCCAACTTGTGATGCGAGGCGAGAAAAGTTGGGAACCACACTAAATTGCTGCAATGGAAGGCAAAATGAATGGTGTATCCGACAAGGGATTTGGAGAGTTACTAAAAATCCAAAAGAAGATGCTTCCAAAGGACAATGAATTGCCCACCACTACCTCTGAAGCAAAACAAGTTATCTCATCCTATGGGGCTAGAAATCGAGAAGATACATGCATGTCCTAATGATCGTATCTGTATAGTAGTGGCAAAGAGTACGAGAAATTGGATGCATGCCCGTATGCCATGCATCATGATATAAGATCAAAGAGATGACCACGTGATGTGTTGAGGGCGAACGTCAGGTGGAAGAAAATTCCTGCCAAGGTTATGTGGTATGCTCCTATA